TCATGCCATGCACTCCAGCCAGCCTGGGCAACAAAAGACTCAATGTAGATCATTTATATAAACTGTTTTAGTATGGTGCCTGGCACACAGTAGCGATGAATACACAGCAACCATTTATTATAGATATTTTATATTGCAGATTAGTTTGCCCAAGCAACCAGAATGATTTATTTCTGATGAAAAATCTTACTCATAGTCTCGAAAAACAATAAGCTAATATTTGCTGATCAGGAACTAAGTTCTTTGAATGCCTTCTCAAATTGTTTTGTTTGTTTTTTTTCCATAAAAGTCCTACAAGGTGAGTTTTATTAATCCCCATTTTGCAAATGAGGAAATTTAGGCTCCCATAGGCTAAAGAATTTAGGCAAGTTCCCTCAGCTAGTAAATCAGGGGGGTGGGCCTACAATGGAGGTCTGAACTATGACCCCTTTTTTGGGGATAGGGGGAAAGAATCTCACTCTGTTGCCCAGGCTGGAGAGCAGTGGCACAGTCTCGGCTCACTGCAACCTCCACCTTCCAGGCTCAAGCGAGTCTCATGCCTCAGCCTCCCAAGCAACTGGAATTACAGGCACCTGCCACCACGCCTGGCTATAGTAGAGACAGGGTTTCACCATGTTGGCCAGGCTGGTCTCGAACTCCTGGCCTCAAGTGATCTGCCCACCTCGGCCTCCTAAAGTGCTGGGATTATAGGTGTGAGCCACTATGCCTGGCCTGAACCATGACCTTAAAGCCAAGAAACCCCTCAGCGGGCATCATCCCTAAGGAGCAGGGGGCACTGCTCAGGAAAAGCACAATCTCAGCTGTGGGAAATTTACTGGGCATGTACCCAGTAACATGTGACACAAAGAGGCTACAGCCTGCCCAGTGCAGGGAATTGGCCCTGGGGCTTGGGGAGGTCATGGAAGGCTTTGTGTAGGAGCTAGGTGTGCAAGGATGAAGGGGATTCCAGCCGGCAGGATGCAAGGAGGGGACTCCAGAAAGAGCAGGACAAAGGAAAAGCTGGAAGGGAGAAGAGAGATGCAAGATGGTCCAACACTGGGCTGGGGCATGTCAGGGCTACTGTGGCCCATCTCTAAGGACCTGTCCCAAAGCATGAAAATATTTCTTTTCCACCTCCCTCCCCCGCCCACCCCCTCATTCCCGCCCCCCCCCACCTCCCCGCCCATAAGACCTACTACAAAGTAACCAACCATGAAAATCAAGGAGTTTTTCTATCACTCAATGCTTTCTTGGTAACCAGAAGACAACTCCAATGAAAAGACACCTCCATACAGGGTCTCATGCAACCCTTCCAGGCAGCTCACTACACACCACTCCTCTGGTCCCACCCAGCAGTGCCCATAGCTTTGGAACTGATAATCAAAGCTTGCTGCCTAACAAAGGGCTTTTGTCTCTCAATTTCCAAGTGCCAGAGGTAGCAGGAAAGTGTGGTGGTTAGGATGCTGAAACAGTGGCGAGTCCATTCCATGGAACTTTCATGGTTAGTGGGGACAGCAGGCAGATTGTCTAACATGACAGAATCTAAGAGGCTGTCTGCTGTAATGAGCTCAGCCAGGCCTGAGGGCACTTCCTTCCAGAAAACAGGTGGCTTTTCTGCTGGCTCCCAGGGCTGGGGGAGCTCCAAGCTACTGGGGTCACCTCAGGAGCCCAAAGAAACAGAGGCAGTATCCCCACTTAAAGAACAGGCAACTCTTAGATCTGAAGAGTCCGGTAAATGTTCTCCTTTTCCATATGTATTTCCAGCTAAATTTGTAAGCTTCAAAGAAGAGAGGAATATCCTCGTTTCTTCTTCTCCCCCCCAACACATGGTTTGGTATAGAGCTCCCAGATATCAGTGAAGGTAAGTTCTGCTGCTATGACCAACAGACTCCAAATGTAATGGCTCAAATACAACAGAAGTGTGTTTCTCGCTAGGGCGTCAGTTCCAGGCCAGTGGACTGGTTAATGAGGCTGTCTTCCTCCACGTAGGCATCCAGGGACCAGGCTAATAGGACATGGCAAGTGGGTGCCACGCATGGTCCCAAATTAGATTTTTTTCTTTTTTAGAGACAGGGTCTCCCTGTCACCCTGGCTGGAGCGCAGTGGCATGATCATAGCTCACTGCAGCCTCAAACTCCCATGTTCAAGCCATCCTCCCGCCTCAGCCTCCCAAGTAGCTGGAACCACAGGTGTGCACCACCATACCTGGCTAATTTTTTATATATTTTTTTGAAGAGACAAGGTCTTGCTATGTTGCCTAGGCTGGTCTCAAACTCCCGGGTTCAAGCCTCCCAACGTGCTGGGATTACATGCGTGAGACACAGCACCTGGTCTCAAATTAGGGAGCTCGTCAGTTCTACCTCCTGTGTTGTCACTTGATCTCCCCAAGCCCACCAGTCCTGCCTCAGCCATCTTCTCTCTCACCAAGGTCATTGTAGCTGGTCCCTGGGCCTGCCTTGCACTTTTCCAGTTTTCTCTCCACTTAGCACTCGTAAAACAAGCAAGTTGTGCCACACCTTCCTTGTCCCAGCTTCTGCCCCTCTCAGCCTGGAACACTCTCCCTGTTTCCAGTCCACTTAGTAAACTGAACTCTCTTTTCATGGTTCAGAGTCTGAATCACCTTAACGAAGCCTTACCTGACCCACCCCTGCTGGGCCCCCAGACATATTCTTCCCTGGACAGAGCTTCCCTGCTCATTGCACTAACAGGCTGACACATCAGCCTCCCCAGAGGAGCCTGTGGGTGCCTTGGTACCTGTATTGGTCTGTTTTCACGCTGCTGATAAAGACATACCTGAGACCGGGAGGAAAAAGAGGCTTAATGGGCTTACAGTTCCACATGGCTGCAGAGGCCTCCCAATCATGGTGGAAGGCAAGGATGAGCAAGTCACGTCTTACATAAATGGCAGCAAGGAAAGAGAGAGAGCGCTTGTGCAGGGAAGCTCCCGCTTTTAAAACCATCACATCTGTGAGACATACTATCACAAGAGCAGCACAGGGAAAACCCAGCCCCATGATTCAATTACCTCCCACTGGGTTCCTCCCACGATGTGGGAATTCTGGGAGTTACAATCCACAGTGAGATTTGGGTGAGGAGACAGCCAAACCATACCAGTGCCCACATGTGCTAGAATAAATCCCCTGCTTCTCAGATCTAGGGCTCTGCTACCTTTAACTTACTGTAGAACTTCTCTTAAACTAGCCATGCCCTCTGGACCCATTCCTCATCTATAAAGGGAAAAACAACCATCCCAGGAGTGGTCTGTGATTGCCCTGTGTTTTAGGAAAAACTCTGCTCAAATTGTTCTTCCTCTACTCTTAGGCCATCACAATCAACACAGAAGACTTCAGTGCCTAAATGTGTGTGGGGTTTCCCCACCAACAAGCAGTGAACACCAGCTGGGTGTCCTTTAATTCAGTTCCAACACTATCTACCCAGAGACATTGTCAAATCCCACAGGTTGAGGATTCAGTCTCCAAGACTGCCCCCCTCAACCACACTAGGCACAAGTCTGGGTCTCCAGAACTTCTGACCAACTGGTTTCAAGTTGAGGTTCCCACAGCCTCCTCTTTGGGTTTAATTTGCTTGAGTGGATCACAGAACTCAGACACCCCTTACTTATGGTTACCAGTTTATTATAAAGGATATCGCAAAGGGCACAGATGAAGAGACGCACATAAGGCAAGGTACAAGGGAAGGGGAAGTGGTGCGGAGCTTCCATACCCTCCCTGGGCACCCCACACTCCAGGAACCGCCGAGTGTTCAGCTATCTGGAAGCTCTCTGAACCCTGACCTCACGACATCAGCATTCCTTCCCCCAAGACTGGGACCCTCTCATGGGAAGGTCTTTAGGACCCACCGTAAACAGGTGGGCGAACATTAGTGAAGGGACGGCCAGAGGTCAGAGGCCTGCCCCTGAGCCCTAACATAGCCAATATTCTAGCCAACTACTAGAACAAGGGCTATGGGAGTTACGAGTCAGGAACCCTGGATGGAAACCAATATATATCGTATCACCACACCCAGCATTGGCACTCAGCACACAGGTGTTGGAAGCAAAGGACTCCTAGGCATGCTCCCTGCGTGGGCTCTGCCCCCAGCCGCCCCTCACAGGGCTTTCAGCCTGCCAGTGGAGATCATTCTTGAGGGCCTGCACATGCAGGGTCCTGGGCACACTGCACATTCCTGACTCAGAGTTGGACTCGGCTCCTGGGGGTTGCCCTGGCCTCATTCACCCTTGAACTCCCCAGCTCCCACCCACCCCAGGCATTACTTAAGCACCTGCTGCCAGGCCAAGACCACCACCTTCTAGGACCTGCAAGCCCCATCCAGCTCTGACTGACACATGACCAGCTATGAGGGCCAGCCTGGCAGGAGAGCACCAACCATGAGCACCAACCCTGCTGAGAAAATAGCACAGAAAGCGTACATTTCTGGGACGGGCACAGTGGCTTACACCTGTAATCCCAGCACTTTGGGAAGCTGAGGCAGGAGGATTGCTTGAAACCAGGAGGCTGAGACCAGCATGGGCAACAAAGCAATAACCCATTTCTACAAAAAGATCAAAAAGTAGCCAGGTCTGGTGGTGTGCAACTGTAGTCCCAGTTACTCAGGAGGCTGAGGCTGCAGTGAGCTATCACTGCACCACTGCACTCCAGCCTGGTGAGAGAGCAAGACCACAGCCCTTAAAAAAAAAAAAAAAAAAAGGAAAGAATGTGTTTCTTTGCCTGGCACTTGCCTATTCCCAATTCCACCCCTGAAAAAAAGAATTTGATATATAGAGGTTTATCAATAGATCACGTTTATTAAAAAAAAAAAAAAAAAAAGGAAAGAATGTGTTTCTTTGCCTGGCACTTGCCTATTCCCAATTCCACCCCTGAAAAAAAGAATTTGATATATAGAGGTTTATCAATAGATCACGTTTATTCCTAAGCCCCAACCACACATCTTCTACCCCTCAAGATCCCTGAGACCCAGGCTGTGGGCTGGAAAACGAAGGCACAGTGTCAGAGGGTCCCTGAACACCCAAGAGTGCTGACCTTCAGGGACCCGCCTGCACTGCCCACAGGCCTGGCACAGCAGGAGGCACTCCTGTTTCCGTCCCTTCTGTCTCTGGTCTTCAGAGCAGGGTTTCTCCTGAGTCCTCTGTCAGCCTTGACTCTGACTGTGAGGCAGATGGGAGCCAAAGCCCCAGTGAAGCTCCAGGAGGCCGGTGGCCCTCAGGGGAACAGATGCAAAACCAGGCACAGGCCTGCCTTCTGGCCAGCATCTACCTATCAGGCCCAGAATGTCTGTGCAGTTGGAGTGGGCTCCCCAGAAGGAAAAACAAGCTTAGTCTAGTGCTAGGGGACAGAGAACTGGGGGCTCAAGAAAGCACCCCAAAACAGGCTGCCAGATTAAGGACCCAGGGGGCTGAAGAGAAGTTTGCCCCAGGGCCCAGAGCCAGGACTGCAGGCAGTGGCTGGAGATGAGAGGCTGCCCGGGCCCCTTCAGGTGCTGGGCCCTGGATTCTGGGGCCACAATTACCTCAACATCACTTCCTACAGCAGAAAAAGGTCACTCTTCTTTCCAGAGGAGGTGACAGAGCCTCAGAGCTTGCTCCGTGGGGCCTCTGCCAGGGGCCGCTGCAGCCGCCATACCACCCTGACTGGCTCAGCGGCGCGGTCCAGCTCACGGAGGCCATCCAGGTCGTGGGTCTGGCTGTAGTGCTGCAGGGCGGGCTGGAGCACCGTGATGGGAATGCTGAAGTTCAGGTGGGGGTAGGTGGCCCCTGTGCTATTGTCCCGGGTGTTACTGGTGACTATGCCTGTTGAGGAGTCAAAGAGCAAAAGAGGATGTGAGCCATCTCCATCCAACCACCTCCATCCACCCTGGAGCCCCCAGGGCCTGCTAGGGCTGGAAACCACCCCCCACGGTGACAGACGCTGAGCTTCTAGACGTGAACACCTGCTGCCCACACCCCTTCCTGGCTTTACATTCTCCCTAACACTCTCAGTATCTAACACACTAGATAGTTCACTTATTTTGTTATCTTTCTCTCCACCTAGTGTCAGCTCCATGAGGGCAGGACTTTGGGGTTTTGGTCATTCAGTCAGTCTCCCAGTGCTTGCGCCATGTTAAGCTCTCAACCAAGGGTTGTTGAATGAATGAATAAATCAATCAACCAGACCCACAGACATGTTTTGCTTGGCCTGCTTGATGCATGGATGTGTGGTTGTTTTTTTTTTTTTGAGATGGAATCTTGCTCTGTCGCCCAGGCTGGAGTGCAGTGGCACCATCTTGGCTCACTAAAACCTCTGCCTCCCAGGTTTATGCAATTCTCCTGCCTCAGCCTCCCGAGTAGCTGGGATTATAGGCATCTGCCGCCACGCCCAGCTAATTTTTTGTATTTTTAGTAGAGGCAGGTTTCACTGTGTTAGTAAGGATGGTCTCGAACTCCTGACCTTGTGATTCACTCACCTCAGCCTCCCAAAGTGCTGGGATTATAGGCATGAGCCATAGCAGCCGGCCGTGTGTGTAGTTTTTTAAAGATAATTTCTGCCTGAATAGTGAAGAATTCTATATACCTTTCGACCAGCTTTCCTTTATGTTCATATCTTATGTCACCAAAAAATATGTATCAAAACCAAAAAATTTACCTTGGCACATACTGTTAAGTGAAATATAGAGCTCATTGGCATGGGTTGCTCTAGCGTTTCCACTAATGTCTGTTTTCAGTTCCAGCATCCAATCTAGGACTCCATATTGCATTTAGCTGTCACAGCTCCCAAATCTCCTCTAATCTGGGTTAGTTCCTCAGTCTTTCCTTATCTTTCATGGCCTTGACATTCTTAAGACTGCAGGTTATTTTCATTTATTTACAGTCTTTTTCTGTTGTTGTTTTGGAGCCAAGGTCTCACTATTGCCATGCTAGAGTGCAGTGGTGGGATCATAGCTCACTGCAACCTTGACCTCCTTGGCTTATGTGATCCTCCCATCTCAGCCTCCCTAAAATATTTTGTAGAGATGGGGCCCCACTATGGTTGTCCAGCTTGGTCTTGAATTCCCAGACTCAAGCAATCCTCCCACCCTCCAAAAGTGCTAGAATTACAAGTGGAAGCCACCATACCTCACTTTTTTTTTTAAATAAATATACAATTTATATTTCTGAGATGAGGTCTTACTCTATCACACAGCCTGGAATGCAATAGTGACCATAGTTCACTGCAGCCTTGAACTCCTGGGCTCAAGTGATCTTCCCACTTCAGCCTCCTGCATAGCCAGGACTTCAGGCACATACTACCATGTCCAGCTCGGGTCAGTGATTTTACAGAATAACCCTCAGTTGACGTCTACCTAATGCTTTCTCACAACTGTTGGGCTGGTGCAAAAGTGATTGTGGTTTTTGTCATACTTTTGTTTTGCCATTACTTTTAATCATTTAAGGTCATGCATTATTGGGAAGAATACCATAAAAGCCATGTGTCCTTCCCAGGACATCAGCTGTCTGATGTCTGTAGGGAGTACTTGTGATGTTAACCTTAATCACTTGGCTGAGGTGGTATCTGCCAGGCCTCTCCAAGACTTATATTTTCCTTTCTTTAATTTAAAAAATAATTTTTTAAAAATAAAAATAGAGACAGGGTCTCACTATGTTGCCCAGGCTAGTCTTGAACTCCCGGTTCAAGTGATCCTCTTGCCTCAGCCTCCTGAAGTGTTGGGATTACTGCCATGAGCTACCACACCAGGCCTAGACTTACGGCTCTAAATATTACCTGTGGCTCTAATATTTCCTCTTTGTAAGTGCTAAATATTTAGAGGAGATATACAAAAGTTATGCAAATATAACTTTACTTAGGGTGGAACAAATAAGTAAACATATTGTAGACAGCAAAAGCAAAGTTTCTCACTACAGGAGAAGGAGGAGACAAGCGAGAGTTAGACTGAACTGGAGTTGGGAGGTTTCTAGGTGAACTCCTATTTTTTCTTCTTTTTTTTTTTTTTGAGACAGAGTTTCACTCTTGTTACCCAGGCTGGAGTGCAATGGCGCGATCTCGGCTCACCGCAACCTCCGCCTCCTGGGTTTTCAGGCAATTATCCTGCCTCAACCTCCTGAGTAGCTGGGATTATAGGCATGTGCCACCATGCCCAGCTAACGTTTTGTATTTTTAGTAGAGACGGGGTTTCATCATGTTGACCAGGATGGTCTCGATCTCTTGACCTTGTGATCCACCTGCCTCAGCCTCCCAAAGTGCTGGGATTACAGGCTTGAGCCACCGCGCCCGGCTATATTTTTTCTTCTTTTTGATAACAGACTGTTTTTTAAAAACCTGTCACCAAAATTTAAAAATTGATCGATTTAACGGCCACACATATTTTTTTTTTTTTTAAGATTTACGTGTCTTGTGAAATATCTGAATAGCAGTCAACATTAGGCCCAACCTCCTTCATGGCCACAGTCTGCTGCAGCCGAGTCGAGTGCGCTCCAGTCTAGCACTGATCCCTCCCCTCCCTGTGGTCTTCTCTTATTCATTTGCTTTAACTTTCCAGCCTCTGTTGGCTTTTGAGTCTGTGACCCTTGGACTAATCCAACTCCTGAATTTCACAGATCAAACCAGATTAAGTGACTTACCTAAGGTCACACAGTGGATTAGTGGGAGAGAAGGGACCAGAAGCCAGATCTCTTTCCTCCCAATTCAGCCTCTCTCCCTCGCTACCCTCAGGAGCAGAACAACCTGCAAACCTTGGCTAGCTCACTCATAATGCCCACCATTTTCCCAGACAGAGGGTGCATTGGGGCTGGCCACAAGCACTCATGGGGTGGGACTGAGGTTCTATCAAGTGGAAGGATGGGAGGGGGCCAAGGAGCTGGTTACCAAGGAGGTTCCCTGAGTGGTTGGAGAAGAGGGGTCCCCCACTGGAGCCACCATGCACAGCACATGTGGTCTGCAGCATCACAGGCGTGCCATCCACCTGCACCACAGCCGACAGGATGCCTGACGTCATTGAGGGCCCGCAAGCCTGGCCAAAGACGCCGAAGCCCACCACACTCACAGCTTCACCTGCCAAGGAGGGAAGGAGGGTGAAGCTGGGAACACCTGTGTTATAGCAGGACTCACACTCCCTAACCCCCATCCCTACCCTCTCCAAACATCCCAAACCTCTCCACCCTTCGAGTTTCTGCTCAGATACTCCTGCCTCCAGAGAGCATTCCCAGGCAGGTCCCCGACTGGAAGAGGCTGGGAACTCCACTGAGCTCCTAGCACTGTATCTGCACGATCACTTCTCCTGAGCAGCAGGCTGTTCCCCAGTCTCATTTCCTGGATAGATGGGGCAGTGACTTTTAGAAGTTCCTAACACCTAGCTACATGCTCAATAAATGTTTGTGGAATTCACATCCATCTCCTCCTGGGACTCCTAAGGAGCCTCTTGGTGAAAAGAAATGGTGATGACAGCCATAAGGCAGCCATCTCCTTCCTTTTCCAAGTGCAGGACATGGGGTTAAGTGCTTTATAGGCAACGTCACACCCAGCACTCACAACACCCAGAAGTAGGATGTATTAGCCCCATGGCAAAGACATGGAAAATGAGGGAGAAAACAGTTAACTAGTCTGTCCAAGGACATGGAACTAGTAAGTGACAGAGGAAAGATGCCCATCTAGAGCCTCTGGGCCCTTCATTGCCATATCATAACACTGCCTCCAAGGAGTGTGACATTGGTATTTAATGTGGCAGCATCACAAAGCCTTTTACCCAAATCATGCCCCAGGAGCCTTGAAAATGCCACATGCCTCTCTGACCAGCCTGATGTGTTAAGAAACCCCAAAGGTCCAGCACCCTCACACTACATTGCTACAGGCACTCGGGGAAGGGGCGTGCTTTATCCTTCACAGGGTACTCCACATCCCCCACCAGCACAAGAAGGGAGGCCTTGGAGGACCTTGACCAATGCCACCCTGACTTCGTAAGTCAGCTGGGGTGGGGAGGGGGCTGGTCCGGGGGACTGGCCATTGTGAGAATGCCCAACAGATTCTACTTCCTGAGTCCCACCCTAGCCCAGAGGGGCCCTCCTTCAGGCTGCGCCCTTTGTCCTTTACCTTCATGGAAGTGCTCAGCGGGCACAGGGATGGGAACATCCTCCAGGTCTTCCTCCAGGCTCACAACTGCTATGTCATAAGGACATGTCTCCTGAGTGGCAAATACCACACGGCCCCAGACGGCCACACTCCTGGGAGTAAGGGAAACAAATGACAGGCTAGCTTTCTGACCCCTCAGTAGTTGGGAGAAATCAAGGAGGTGAGAGTGACAGTGAACGTCACGAACTTGGAGTCACAAGATCTGGGTATCAGACCTGAAATCGACCAGCCAGGCAACTCTGGGCAAGTCACGTCACCATTCTGTGGTATCTCCAAAGGTGGCTGACAAACTGTGCTGCTTCTATAAAGCTTCCTGTACCTCACCCCAATAAGCAACACGGACAGTGAGCGCTGTGGGTCAGGTTTGGTGTTAATGCTTTGTGGACATCACTTTATTTAGTCCTCTGACCCTATAAACTGGGCACTGGCATTCTCTCCATTTTAGGTGGTATAACTGAGGCCCAGAGACACTGAGTAACATTCCCAACGTCAGACAGTGGGAGGAGCCAGGGCGAACATAACACTTTCCTTCACTGCCTTGTTGATACCCACAATCCCATCAGTTTGGTGAGGGTTTTACCCCCTTGGGTTCCTATTTACATAGATGCTAGCACTTCTGTAGCACACTGCGTGGCAGGCTCTGTTCCAAGACATTTGGCATCAACTCCCAGGGAGGCAGCTTAGACAGACTGACTTGCCCAAAATCAGACAGGGGTATCCCACTACACTCTGTAGGGGCAGCTTCCAACAGACCTGGTGGTCTCCTTAGGAGCAAGGGGAATGTGTGGGGAATGAGAGGAATCTGGGGGGCCACCACCATAGGGAAACCTTCATTGGTCTTCCCTTTAAAGTCGTAGCTGTCCCACAGGCCACCAGTGGGGACACCTATGGCAAACTGGGCTGTGTTGCCCACACCGCGCTAAGCTTGGGGATTCAGGAAAGAGATTTGGAAATAACTGGTCTGCAAGGGTGGGTTGAACCACGTACAGCTGCCTGGGCCATCCCCCTACATTTTGATTAGGTGGAAACCCACATTCTGTTTTTCATTCTGAAGGGGAACTGGCTAAGCTCTAAAAGATGATTAAAATTAACAAATCTATCTCATTACCCCAGGAGGTAATGAGCCTGGGCCTCTGGGACTTTAACACTTTCAGAGAAGCTGCAAGGTTAGGGGATCTCTGTTCAAAGAGCCAGAGAACAGTGGGGTATAGGGTGCAGGTCTATGAGACAGAGAAGCTACCCGGAAGGAACTCAGACTTTGAAGCGGGCTCAAAGATGTCCAGTTCCGGATTCAGGGTGTCTCACAGTACCCAAACCCAGAGCTGCTTGGAGCTTGACATCTTGCCCTAGATACTCCCCCACAGGGATTCTGGGTATAAAGAATGAGGGGAAGGTTCCAGGTCTCTACCCACTACACGCCCAAAGCATCCGCGTGACACAAAAAGGCTTGCCCCCAGACCTGAGACCTGGAAAGGCGGACGTGGGGTCTGCCTTGCTGGCTTACTTGGGGGACGTGGAGTGCACCAGGACCCTGGCTGCCTCCCGAGGGGACACGTGCCGGCAGGTCACTACAAGGCGGGGAGCCACAGCCACTCCAGAGCCCCATACGGAGCCGCACTCCACCAACACAGCCGCGGCTGCCCACGGGGGCCCGGGTTCTCGGAGGGGCAGGCCCCACGGGACGCCCACCTCTAGCGGCAGGTGGGCGGCCAGGGCAGCGGTGCTGGGGAACAGGCGGCCGAGCGCCGCGCGGACAGCACGGAGGATCGGGGCAGCAGCGCAGAGCAGCGTGAGGCCCACCCATTCGCGAGACTTCCAGCAGAGCGGTGCCGCCACCAGAGCCACCAGCGTCCCCGCAGGCCGCGCGGTGAACACGCCGCCGCCCTCCGTGCCGGGCAGGCAGCGTGCGTCGGTGAGCAGCAGCGGGCCGGCCACGTTGCTGAGCACCCCGCGGCTCAGCGTGTTGAGAAAGATGTCGGGGCAGAAGGCCCCGAATGGGGAGCCGCAGACCAGCAACGGCGCGCCCTTGGGCACGGCCCCGAGTGGCGCCACCGCCACTGCCGGCCCGCGCTCCTCCTCTGCCTCCTCCTGGCCTAGCCGCACGCCCAGCAGCGCGAACCAGCCCAGCAATCTCAGTTGATCCTCCTCCTCGTCCTCCGACACTTCATCATCCGGCGCCACGCTCGCGAAGCGCCACTGTTCCGCTGTCTCGTCCCCGAAGAGGCGCGCGAAGTGGGCCCAGAAGGCCGGGCAGCTCAGCAGCAGCAGCAGCTCGGCGGGAAGTGGGGGCTGCTGGAGCCGCCTGCAGTACGAGGCAGGTGGGCTGGGCTCGAGGCCCGCGCACTGGGGCGTGCACAGCCCGGGCCTACCCCGCTCTACGCCGCCCAAGGAACCCGCGGCCACTGGGGCCCACTGCACGTGCAGGCGCAGATCATCGCTGCAACTGTCGCCAGGCAGGAAGACGGCGCCGGCCGCTGTCAGGACCTCCCTGCCAGCTCGCAGGAAGGGGGCGAAGATGCCCCCGTGGCACAGCACCAGGCCCGGGCTACGACTCAGGATCACCCCGCTGCAGCTCCACGGGCCTGCCTCAGGTTGTCTGGCCCGGGAGGCGCTCACCACGCAGCCCGCCTGTTCTGCTGCCCTCATGGCAGACCCCCACTGCCTCCCCATGGCCTCTAGACGGGATACTCCGGGGCTTCTGCGAGAAACAGAGAGCCGCCCAGCTACGACCCCAACCCGGTCGGCTGAACTGACCTAGCACCACCCACAGCTGGACGCGAGAGGCGCAAGCTCCGACTCAGTTCTTCCTCATCGAGCTCGATTGGCTAAGCCCCAGCTGACCCAACCCGATTGGCTGGGCTTGTGCCGAGCCCTGATTGGCTGCCGATTCTGATCCTCCTTTCCCCGCCCTCGGTTAGTCCAACCTGTGGGCCGTAGCTTCTGTCCCATACCCTCGGATGAGCCCCGGGGAGAGTAACGGCGTCACGAGGAATTAGGGGAGAGGAGGGCGGGTCCCTTCAAGCCTAGTCTGTTGTTTGCTGGGCTGCGGGAAAGGGAATAGAAACGAGCACTGACGTAGCTAGATTTGCCCAGGCCACAGTACCTGTTAGCATCTGCCCAGGCCTAGGCGACCTTCAGCCTCTGACCCCTGGGATCATATGGACCAAGAAATCCCTGGCCAATTCAGTATTTTGGAAAATCTGAAAGTAAACCGTGTAGCAGTCCATTAAGGGGCATGAACTTTCAAGATTACTCCTAAGATATTTTGCTGCTAAAGCCTCAACACAGAGAAACTGAATTTGCTGTAAATTAAATTGCCCTTTAAGTCAACTATGATGAACAGCTGAAATCAAGAATTTTAATCATATCGCCCTATATTTTGCAGTGTGCACATTTTCACATAACATTTATAACCACCAGCCAGGATTTATCTAGGCCAGGGTCCAAATACTTCTGTAGAAGGCCAGAATGGAAACAGTTCCAGTTTGGAGGACCATACAATCAGTCTCAAATACCCAACTCTGCAGCTGTTGCATACAAAAGCTAAAGGAATGGCGGTGGCTGTGTTCCAATATAAAGTTACCTTGAAATTTGAATTTCATATAATTTTTTCGTGTCCAAAAATAGCATTCTTCAAATTTTTTTCAAACCATTTATTTATTTATTCCCCTCTGGTTCATGTTCTCTGATGAAGTTGCATTTTCCAACCATTTAAATGTGTAAAAAGCTTTCTTAGCTCACAGGCCATACAAACACAGGTAGCAGGCCAGGTATGACCCACAAGGCATAGTTTACCATCTCTAGTGTATACTAACGTAAAACACATCTACTTTTCCAAAGACGTACCCTTTAAGACAGAAGAGGATGAATGACTATATCCAGGGGGAGGGGGAGCTTCATGATACCCTCAAATCAGTCACCACAAGCTAGACAGTTTACAAAGGTCCGCTTTATCACTGTATTGATAAAATACACATTAATTTTTATTAAGGTTACTATAGTATACTACCAACATTAATGAAAAGATATTCAATTGCTATTTAAGTTCTCTAATCTTTTGCCTGAATTCTTTAAATAAAGTTAACACTGCTTGGTAAAATCCCAGCACAACATGCGATAACGCTCCCAGTACGCCCAGTGGCCCAAACCGGCTAGAGAAAGGAAAACAACTATCCATGATAGTATGAGGCAGGACTAAAATTAGGCCATCTTCCAGAGTAGGCAGTCTTATTTTGGTTCTATGACACAGAAGATGGCTTGATCACAGCAAAATTTCTTTATCCCAACTTCCTAGCAATTAAAGAGTTTTTCTCTTGGTGAACCACAAGGGCTCACACTTGGAATCCCAGCACGTTGGGAGGCTGAGGTTGGAGGATTTCCTGAGCCCAGGAGTTTGAGACCAGCCTGGGCAACATAGTGAGACCTTAACTCTACAAAATTTTTAAAAATTAGCCAAGCACGGTGGTGCACACCTGTGGTCCCAGCTACTTGGGAGGCCAAGATGGGAGGATCACTTGAGCCCAGGAGGTCTAGGCTGCAGTGAGCTGTGTACATACCACTGCACTCCAGCCTGCGTGACAGAGTGAACTCAAAAAAAAAAAAAAAAACTCTAAAAGTGATTCTCCCTCAATAACGCCCAAGACTCCAGCATGAACTGTTAGGCATTGGGTTTTTTGGTGTCTACAGCAGATCATGGTACAAAGTCCCAAGTCACAGCCAGAACAGCCAAGGTAAGACCTGATGAGTGCTAGGCTCAGTGACTGAGCCTTTAATCTCATGTTCCACTCTGCCTCAAACAAAACCAACCCGTTTGCTCAGACAACCCATAGCATCCTTTCATAGTAACAAAGACAAGAGGACACCTCCAATACTTTAATACTTGGTTGAGAAGAACTCGTTGCACTGTTTCCTACTGTTTGTCCTAGTACTTTAGTTTTATGATCTCATTTGAAGTTTTCTAAAACCAAGGCTTCTTACAAGCCCACTAAATGCACAAGGAAATTCCCATTTTGCCAAATGTAGCATTTGATTTTTTTTTTTTTTCGAGAGTCTCATTCTGTCACCCAGGCAGGAGTGCAGTGGTACGATTTCAGCTCACTCCAACCTCCACCTCCCAGGTTCAAATAATTCTCCTGCCTCAGCCTCCCGAGTAGCTGGGACTAGAGGCATGTACTACCTACCATGCCAGCTAATTTTTTGTTTTACTAGAGATAGGGTTTTACCATGCTGCCCAGGCTGGTCTCAAACTCCTGAGCTCAGGCAACCCATTTACCTCAGCCAATTCTAATTTTGTGTAAAATGAGTGACACTCAGCTAAACTAGAGCTAGTCCTTGCTAGCATGTTAATAACAGATTTTGCTCAAACATCAGGCATCCCCATCCTGCTGCAGAAATGACCAACAACCCTGGGTCCACAGCATGTTCCAAATCTCTCAAATAGTACTATAAATCTATTTCCTCTAGTGCTCCAGCCTCTTTCCCCCTCCTGGTGGCAAAATTAAAGTATCTCGCATGCACTCTAAATGTCTCTTCCTCTATGTAGGAAACTTTTGGATCCCTCCCTAAACACATGGCATTGTTCAAACTCAGAACTCAGAACAAACCAATGCAAAAAAAAAAAAAAAAGAAGAAGAAAGAAAACAACACATTTCTTTTAACGTTTTATTAAAATGCTTAGGATACAGATTGACTTTCTTTTGTAAATGACTGTTTTACTTTTCCTGAAATAGGACATGTATGCACTCTGATAAAACAGAATGAGAAGTCGTAATCCATGGGAATTCCTGTACAAGGTGCTGATCCTGTGTCTGGAGTTGAGCTCCCCACAGCAGCTTCTTTCAGCTATCTTATAGGAATAGTGTTCCGTGGGGCAAGAAATACACTGGTTCTGATTTTCAATCCCCTTTCTCCAGTGGAATAAACCACTTTCACAAAGAGCTGCCCTATGTATAACCCACAGATTTCTAGCTTGCAACAAAGTGACAAGGGACAAATGAGTGGAAAAAAATTAAAACTAACACTGAAGGACTCATACTTCTCATGTCTCTGAACAGAGAAGTATGGGGAACCTTTAACCAAAGGAAATTAAAAATATGCAAGTTAACTACCTACTTCACTCACTGTTAGCTAGATTTGTTCACTTAAGGCTTTAACCCCTTTCCAAACCAATAATTTTGTCTTAATCCAGCTATGCTTGCTAATAAATGAAATGCATGCACTTCCCACACATATACTTCACTAAGCCTCTGCATTCAGTACCTGGCAGTGAAAAAGTATGCTTTCCCAACAAGTCAGTACTGGAGAATATGAATGAGAACTCCCACTAAAGAATGATACCTCTCTCAACCCAGTAATGTTATCCAATTTTCCCTACCCTCACATTAGAATAAAGATATCCTCCCAACTTTTCATCTCTTATCTCCAATCTTTTCCCAAGAAACTGATCTTTTGATCTTTAACTACAATGGTGGAATACAGGTTAAGATTATCAAAATCCAATTTCATATGTGGCACTAGGAAAATGGAATGCTATAAAATTAATCCTCTCAACCTAGTAGGGATGCTGGTGCTTTTATACTGAATCTTTACTGCCAATAAGTGATGCTGCCACCAAAGGAACAGCTCTACAGAAAGTTTTTGGGTTAGTGTTTCCCCAAGCTTATTTCTGCAATGGAGAAAGACAATTTCATACAGAAAAGGAAAAGGAAAGGAAAGAAGGCAAGCCAAACAAACCTGGAAAAGCTGCAGAGGTTAACCTTTAAACACCAACAAAATAGGTATCTAAGGAGAAAAAAATGTAAGAAAAAGAGCTCAGGAACAGCCAGAGACCAAATTCTGCAAATGGAAATTTTAAAGCCCACTGAGTACATGTTTCCTGGATCCAAACAAGTGCTACAATACTTTTAAGTTCTCAACTCACAGAATTAAGAGCCCTTAAGCTGTTAACTTTGTCCTGTCTTCCTATTCAGAAAAATTTCCCCCTAGAATCTGTGCAACTGACACAACTGCAGTATGTGACATGAGAGATGTTCTCAAGTCTTTTATGAGGTGAAAGTAACTTTTTATAACTGAAAATGAAAAACGAAGGTGCCACAGAGAAAAGTTAAATTTCACAAAAGTATAAAAGCAAAGAGTGGCTGGAATCTGTAACTTCATAATAACAATAACCCCCTCTATAATTAACCCCTCCACAGTGAACAATCTGCTACACATTCCTCGATGAGGAATGACCCTAGCTTACCACAGTGGAAACCTGCCACAACTGCAAGGCCAGGGTTCTGCCCCTTTTCTAGTTTTCTGTGCACAAGGTAATGCCGCCTACTCCAAGGCAGTCAGAGAGATAGGTGAGCTCAGGGGAGCTTCTCTCACCAACCTGCTAACTCAGTAGGAGTAAGTTCACCCAAATAAGCTCTGGCCTCCAATGTGTATCTGTTCATAATTGTATGAAGTATCTAAATGTCATTAATTAGTTTAAAAAAAAAAAAAAAAGAATAGAAAACTCTGGACCAAGTAAATTGTGAACTCAAAAAGTTAGGAGGGATACCAATTACATTAACAACACTTTCTTTAAAAAATAGAAGTACTTTCTTTTGAAATCAACCGCAGTGGTGAGACGTGTTTTTCTTTTCAGGTGCCCCATGATGGCACACAGCTTTACCCGGCAAATCCTGCCAGCTTCCAAGTCCCGGGATACTGACCTGCACCAGACGTGGAGCAGCATTACCTCCTGACAGTGTGGAGAAGAGCACATGTCACCACTGGGCAATGAGAGAGTTGACAGAGACTCTTGGCTTCTCAACGCCAGACATGGTTGGAGAGCTTTTCTTGTTCTATTAGAAAAGTTCATGAGGAAGCTGTGAATAGGATCAGTCCAGAGAAGTAAAACTCTTTTATTTTCACTGTCCAAACATCAGTCAATATACTGGGAGAGCCAGCGGAAACCCTCGCCGTAGCCTTGCCTCTTGAGCACACTGCACATGAACACTTCCATGGGGCGAGCATTCAGCTCCTTCAGGGTCACATTCCCCTAAAGGAGGCAAAACGGAGAAAGAACTGTTAGCATCTCTGTGGTGGAAGAGATTGAAAGGACGATCTCTACAATCAGTTTATCCATTCCTTAAAAGCAAATATAAGTAGGTATTAATTACAGATATGTGATCGAGGCCATATAGGTGACTTCCCCAGGCTTCTTGTTTTCAGGATAGAATAAGCAGCACAGTTCTATTCCCAGCCCCTCTCTCTCTCTCTTTCTCTCTCTCTTTCTCTCTCTCTCTCTCTCTCTCTCTCTCTCTCTCTCTCTGAAGAGCATTTGCTTTGAACACCCAACATTCATCTGGAAAGTTACGGAAGCAAACCAAGAAAAAAGCCACTGGGACTTATGGAACCAGCAAGCTCTCTGATGCAGAAAAGGAAATAAGGATATTCTCATAACAAAAGCATGCAGAAATAAACACTCATAACAGGTGACACTGAGGAAATGAAGAATTCATGTGTATTTAACACTCATGCAAAAGAGGAGAAATTAAATTTAAAAAATGAAGTATTTCTATAAAGAAGCAGATAATCAAGAAGAGGTAAGACTAAGGAACCACGTAAAAAAGTCAGAAAGTTATCACAGATCACAGATAACAAAGATTTTTAAAAACTAAATATGCCAAAACCCCAAGCTAAAAAGAACAGAAAGATTCCTGCTTAACCTTATCTGATCTAGGTTTTCTCTCTCTCAAGCCTGCTTTTCTACAAGAGTCCTTCTTCCAAATGAAGACAGTAAAATCTATTGATTTGGAAGACTCAAGTTCTTTTTCTGGTTTTATCACTGACTTGCTGTGTAGGCCTGAACAAATCACTCTCTGTTTCTTCCTCTGCAAAGTGGCGCTAACAGTCCTACCTCTCTCAGCAAGCAGCACTGAGGATAATATCATCAAGTGCTTTGATTTCAATGCTTGGAAAGTGATTGAGATGATCATTTTTCTTCATAACCTGCAATCTCCAGCCCCAAAAAAAAAATTGTTTTCTGGCTAAGAAGGGCTATTTCAAAAGCAATTTCTCAGAATCGGATTTGAAAGATAATCATAAACTCTTAAAAGAGTAAGTTTGCCTTTTCTACCATTTCCTTTTTCCTCAAATACCCGATGAATGAATGCCACGTAAAATGTTAAAGAACACACTCCTGCCTCTAGTGAGTTTAAAAAATACCCACAGTAAAACAAATCCTACGCCTCTTTAAACCTTTAAAAGAAAAGGGTAATCTAGGTAGCAAAATATCATGTTTTAAAAATTGTAAATATCCTTTATATGTCACCTAAAGATTTTTCTCTTACCTTTCCTGTGGTCTGTCCATAAAGCCCAAATATCTCACGAAGTTTTTCTTCACTGATTATATGTGTTCTGTTAATTTTTGTTACCCAAGATAAGGATTGGCACATTGGATATTGTTTCATCAGTCATTAAAGCCTAAAGATTAAAAAAAAAAAAAAAAAAAACCAAAAAACTAAGGAATCTACAAAAGTCTACCAGATAAAGAAAATTCTGACTTCCACTAATCTTTTAAGGCATTAATGTAAAGTAAAAATCTGATCATCTTTGTATCTGAGTGATTAAAGGTTCACCTTGACGTACAACCCATGACATTAGGTAAAAATCCCCTAAGTGCCTGAAAACAGTTGCAACTTTAGCCTATTTATTTACAAGGCAGCAGAACTGCCCCACCCTTAACTTTTGAGTTAATCTCAAACTATCCTCAGCCACAAACTATCCTCAGGATGTCCCTCAACACAGTCCTACAAGGATGAATGCTCTGGCTACAGAGCCTCAAAGATGACTACAGGAACTGCCCCAAGTATTCACCAAGTCCCAGTGTGTGCAAAGAACTTCTCAGGCATTGAGAGGAATATAATAGGAAGGGTAACTATCTCAGGCACTGAGGACACAAAAGGAAGGGAAAGACACATTCCTGCCCTCAAAAAAATCCTTACTCTAGGTTCACATTTATGGCTTGTTTTTTTTTTTAAATCTCAGCTCACTGCAACCTCTGACTCCCAGGTTCAAGCAATTCTCCCACCTCAGCCTCCTCTGAGTAGCTGGGACTACAGGCATGCGCCACCACTCTTGGCTAATTTTTGTATTTTTAGTAGAGACGGGATTTCACCACGTTGGCCAGGCTGGTCTCAAACTCCTGGCCTCAAGTGATCCACCAACCTCAGCCTCCCTAAGTGCTGGGATTACAGGCATAAGTCACTACCCCTAGCCACATTTATGTTAACAAAGCCAAGAACACAACATATTGGGCAAGTATCACAATGAATGGGGACAGAATATTAACACTAAGACAAGTTCAGGGAAATAAAATGGCAATTTTGGGCTTGAACAGAGTCTTAGCAAAGATCTGCAACCTAAACAGGGATCTAAAGGAAGGACAGGGTTTGGATAGGTGTAAAGGAGAACATAAACAACAGCTTTGTGGTAGGACAAGAATTCAGGAAGCTACACAGTACTGCATGGCTGGATTCTAGCATTTATATAGACATGTGGCAACAAAGTGAACAGATGGGAAGAGATGACTCACATTATGGTGCCAGTGTGAGAAGTGAGCTGCAATAGATCCTAAAGATCACAAATCCAGAAGTTAGTGAATAAAATCTTATTTTTCAGTATAATGAATTCACAAATAGTATCTATCTGTGGTGTTCATGTAAGAGGTGATGATGTAGCCTAGGGTAGAGCATTTAATGAATAGTGCAGGAGGCATTTTGAAGAAAGAATTGAAGAGACCAATATCTAAATGATTAAAAAAAAAAAAAAGACAAACGAGTCAAAAAAGGTACAGATCAGATTTCAAGCATGGGAATCAAGTTGTCACCAACAGGAAACCTGAGGGGGGAAAGCGGAGTTGAAGAGATAGAGAAGAATGTGCTTTGCCCATCTTGAATTCCAGGAAATGTTAGACAAAATTAGAGTAAGAATGTCCTTTATTCATTAAGCAATAACAATGTACATCATGTATGTAATGCTTTGCTAGGTACAGGGGTTTCGCAAAGAAATAAGACACGGTCCCTATTATGTTAGTTCATTGTCCGATGAGAAAAAACGAAAAGAAAACCAGTAAAGATAACAGATATTGGTAAGGCGGGAGTCTAACACAGTCTCAGAGGTCAGGGAAGGCTTACCAGAAGCAGTCACATCTGAACTCTGAGGTCTCCTACAGGATATTTTAAAATTTGCTGACAAAGTGAGGGGTGAGGAGAGACACAGGTGAAAAAGCCAGGCAGTACCTAGTTGTGCACATTCAAGGATGGCTAAGTTGTTTGTTTGGAATGTAGTTCAAGGTAGGCAGTAAAAAGAAACAGAGGGCGCATCATGAATGATCTTACATGCTATGCAAAAGATTTGTAGATTTCATCCTGAAAAGAACTATCAAAGGATATTAAGTAGGGCACTGACAAGTCTGAGAAAGTTCCTTCTAGCATTACAGTGCGTATCAGGGTCATGGTGGGATCTATATTCAGATTTCTGGACTGCATGTCCAGGTAGGTGGTGGATGGGTGTAGAGAGCCGGAGTAGCCCACCCCCTCTGGGGGGATCAGCAGCAAGGCTGCTCTGAACTTTGGGTGAACTTCAGAGAAGCGAAACCATTAATAGGGGAATGTGTATGTCTTGGAGAAGAGTAGTCAGACCTAGCAAAAGATAACCAGCTTTCACTGACCTTGCTGCAAGATAGTTGTTAGCTGAGGTATGTTAACTCAAGTATGAGAATTATAACCACAGGCTGTTCTGGGTAACTGCACCCGCCGTCTGTTATGTGCTTTGTGAACATATAAAATAAAGTACTCTGAGGCAGGACAGGGCCAAAGAGACTGACATCATCAGCTTTTTGGACCACCTGGCCCAGCTTTATATATGTCTGTCTATATGTCTTTCTTATCCCCTGCCGTTTCCTCTTAGGTCTTTGAACCCTTGTGCAGCGCGGGATGCAGCGCATGCCAGATGTGGCATCTGAACAGGGACCTGAGCACGGGAACCAAAAAGAGAGTAAGGTGAGGGGACACTCACCAGACCCGGGTATAAAGGGTGAGTGGATTCGATTTTTCACCAAGCGTTAAGCAGGCAATTCTTTGTCTAGTGATAGTTCTTTGTATATAAAAGTGCTGCTCGCCCTCCTTAGGGGCAGAAAATGTTGTGTACAGAAAGAGCAGCTAGAAAATTTTCTAAAATTTGTGCAGCAGATTTGCCCGTGGTTTCCAGAACAGGACTCGGTTAGTTTAGCTACTTGGATGAGAGTAGGACACCAGTTACACAACAAACACACAGCTGAGGGACCTCAGATGATGCCGGTTTATACTTTTACTATTTGGTCTTTGATTAGGGATGCTTTAGACCGCCAACATGAGGCAGACAAGTTTAAAGAAAACACTTCTTCAGTAACTCTGTTTAAACTGTGATTTTCCTTATTGTGTTGGTACAGTATTTTATTATCACTTAACCTCAGGATATTCAGACCAACAGAATTGTATTACTGCTCTAAAACACTGAGGGGAGTTCAGGCTATCTTGGCATCTCTTAAAAGCCAGGAGACAAGTGAAAGTGCTGAGGCAGCTGAGTTTTCTGCCCCACATATGGACTTCCCTCCGCAACCCCAAGACTTACTTAAAACTGCCTCCTCTTTTGAGAAGGAGTGTGACGGAGATGGCTCAGAAGAGCCTCTGCCCCCAGAGCATCAACAAAAATTAAGAGGATGAAATAACTAGAGAGGAGCAAGACTGCTGGCCTCAAACATTCGCAGCTCTTAACTTTGCAGACCCAAAGCCCAGAGGGCTTGTACAAGGAAAATGCAAGGGACACAAATAACTCCTTTTAAGATCTGTCCCCTGCAGGCTGCTTTACGTGGGGCGATGACACAAGGGGAGGATGTTGAGGGGTTTCAAGTTTGCCCGGTGCTAGTACCTCCAGATCCTGGACAGATGCTGAGACAGCATGATCCTTTGTCTTTTAAATTACTCAGAAATTTAAAACAACTTCAGCCTCTTATGGACCTACTTCCCTATTTGTGGTAACTCTCATGTATGCCTTGGCCAATGACACCTTGGCCCCTAACGATTGGTATAACCTTGCAAAAGCATGCTTGGATCCATGAGATTATCTAAAATGGAAATGTGACTACTCTGATAGATGTAGCCAGCAGGTTGAGCACAATACAGCTCATGGTGTAAATACATCTATGGATATGTTAGTGGGTAGTGAAAATTTTACTCCCTTACAAAATTAGCTTAGCTATCCTTTAGAGGCTTATCAGCAAATAAATATTTGTGCTATATGGGCCTGGAGGGGTCTTCCAGCCAAAGGTAAAAAGTCCCAGGAACCTAGTAAAATTATTCAGTGACCAGAGGAACCATATGCAGACATTACTGCCCGCCTGTTTCAGGCAGTAGGATGGCTATAGCTGACCCAGAAGCCAGCAATGTGTTAGCAAAGCAAATGGCTTTTTAAAATGCCAACAAAACATGCCAAGCCATTTTGAGACCTTACAAGGCTAAGCCTACTCTAAATGACTTCATTTGCCTTTGTGCAAAGGTTGGTCCGGCCTATGTCCAAAAATTGACTTTAGCCTCTGCTCTTCAGGGTAAACTTCCAGGACAATGTCCTAAAAAGAAATCTAAAACTTGCTTCCAGTGTGGCAAAAAGGGACATTTCACCCGAGAATGCAGGGTGGTGAGAGGGGGCCACTGCCTTCTGGAACTGTGGGGCTGCTTGTTGGGCATAATAGTCTTACTTCAAAAAAATTTTTTAGTACCTGGAGTTATAAATACTGATTACACAGGTGAAATTTTAGTCCATAAATGGAAATTATTGCAATATTTATGAGCCATTAATGCCACAATGCAGCCCATGAGTGCTCTGCAACCAGGTTTACCCACTCCAACTACTATTCCATTAGATTATCATCTTTGGTTCTGGATCTTAAAGATGCATTCCCTTGCATCCAGATGACCAGAAACGTTTTGCACTCTCGGTACCTTCCCCAAATTTTCAAGCGCCTATTAAACGGTATTGTTGGCAAGTACTTCCTCAAGGAACAGCTAACAGCCCAACTTTATGTCAGTCCTTTGTGGCAGGTGCTTTAAAATCTACTAGACAAAAATACAAATCAGCATATATCATTCATTATATAGATGATATTCTTGTGGCACATTCATCTGAAGAAACTTTAAGGCAAATTTTTGGGGACTTAGAATTGGCCCTTAGTCTGGTCTGATGGTGACACCAAAAAAAGTACAAAAATTGGCTCCTTTTAAATATCTAGGAACAATCATTTCTGGTTGCACTATTCATCCTCAGAGGCTGCAAATTCACCGGGACTGTCTACATACTTTAAATGATTTTCAAAAACTCCTTGGAGACATTAATTGGCTTCACCCTATGCTAAAATTGACTACTGGCCAATTAACACCACTTTTTACTATTTTGCAGGGTGATCCTGACCCTACTTCCTCTAGAACTTTAACTGAACCAGCAAAACTTCCTCTTAAACAGGTAAAAGAAGCCATAGCTCAGGCTCAGTTAACTTGCATTAACCCATAGCTTCCCTTAGATCTAATGATCTTACAGACTGCTCGCTCATACACCCACTACAGTGCTGTGGCAGAAAGACTCCCCTATGGTGCGGTTACATTTGGCTAACACCTCACCTAAGTCTTTAACATCTTACTATTCAGCAGTTGCTTCTCTAATAGCTAAGGGTAGAGAGCGATGCTATCAGACCTTTGGTCAAGACCCCAATACAGCCATTGTGCCATATAACACCACTCAACAATCATGGCTGTGGCCATTTGCTCAGGACTGGGGACTAGCCTTTGCAGATTTTACAGGACAGATAGCATGTCATTGTCCTTCATTTAAAATACTTTCATTTGCACAACAACATCCATTTATCTTTCCTAAAATTGTCCAAACTAAGCCAATTCCTTTAGCTCAATTAGTGTTTACTAATGACAGCCATTTAGGACAAGTCGGGTATTTTATGACAGGCAGCTCTGAGGTGGAGGCCACCCCATTTACTTTTGCTCAGTGAGTTGAGCTTTATACTGTTTATATGGTTCTCAGAGATCACTCACAAGCAGTTAATATCTGCTCAGATAACAAGTATGTGGTAGGAGCCATTCAACATTTAGAAATGGCTCTCAGTGCCTCTGCCTCAGAAGAGATTTTTCAAATATTTACGATTCTGCAGTGCATGCTCCACCAGCAAAAGTATCCTATATTTACTGGACATACCAGATCACATTCAAATTTCCCAGGTCCCCTGACAAAAGATAATGTAGCTGTAGACAATCTTGTCTCCCCTCTGTCTAGTGGGTTCACTTGTTTCCCAGGCACAGAAATCCATGCAACATTTCATCAAAACACTAGTGCTCTGCAGTTTTCACTTACCAGAGGGCAGGCTAGACAGATTGTTAAACTTACTCTGCCTGCCAAACTTTCCTCCCAGTTCAAAATGTAGCTGTAAACCCCAGAGGTCTTAAGCCAAACGCCTTCTAACAAATGGATGTAACTCATATACCCTCTTTTGGCTGTTTGCAATATCTACATGTGCTGGTGGGTACTTATTCTGGTTTTATTTTCACCCAACCACTCTCAGGGAAAGCGGCCAAACATGTAATTTTTGCCTTGCCGCCTTTACTATCCTTGGTCTGCCTCATTGTCTTAAAACAAATAATGGTCCTGACTATACTTCTGTTATTTTTACTCAATTTTGTGCAACCTTTGCTATTGTACATATTACAGACATTCCATATAATCCAACAAGTCAAACTACTGTTGAGTGCACTCGCACTCTCAAAACTCAAACTGAAAAACTCAAAACTCAAACTGAAAAACTAAAAGGAGATTATAGAGAAACTCCAGTTACCCGAGTCGCTCTTGTACTGCATACCCCCTTAATTTTTTAAACTATGATGAATCTGGACATTCCCTCATGGATAGGCACTTTGCCACCCAGGAAATACCTAAGGCATGGGTCTTATGAAGGAATGGGAGTAGATGAGACCATCCTGGGAGAAAGTAGACTCTGGGGAATACCAACATTTAAGGACTAACCAGAGGAACTAGTGCTTCTCAGAGACAGAAGTGTCAGCCGGAAAGACAGCTCCAAAATCAAGTGTGAAGAGAGGAGTTTAAACAAAGAGAATGGAGACCATGCATAGTGGCTCATGCCTGTAATCCCAGCACCTCATGAGGCCAACCCAGTGGATCACTTGAAGCCAGGGGATTGAGACCAGCCTGGGTAACATAATGAGACATCCTGTCTCTACGAAAATATTTTTTTAAAAATTAGCTTGGTGTGGTGGTATATGCCTGTAGTCTTAGCTACTTGGGAGGCTGAGGCAGGAAGATCGCTTGAGCCCAGAAGTCTGAGGTTACAGTGAGCTGTGATCGCACCATTGGACTCCAGTCTGGGCAACAGAGCAAGACGCTGTCGTTTAAAAAAAAAAAGCAAGGTAAAGATTGCCTGGCAGGCAATTCTACATGAGGCTAGAGCTACAGATCTGGGAAACATACTTAGAAATAAATTCAAGACAGGTTCAAGTTGACCAGAACAAGAATGCAAGAAGTTATAAATCACAGAGAAAGAAGAGATACAGGATAAAGAGCAGGGATAACAAAGACAATAGTATAGAAACCATCAAAATGCAACATTGACAAAAGAAAAAAAAAACATGAAGTGAGTCCTTGATAGTATCAAAGGATGCATGCAACCAAAACTGAAGACTGAGAACAAACCAGGAAGGTCTGGCAAGTCATTCAGTGGGAGCATGGGTAGGCACAAACTGAGAATACAGATTCAAAAATGTAAAGAACTCTACTATCTCTTTTAGACTTTCACCACGTCAACACTACTTATAAAGAATTACTGTTCGTGACTCGTGAAATGGAACACTATTAATTATGCTGGGACAACAGGCATAAATGAGGAGTATCCTGAGCAAGCTGGACCATACAGTCACCGTATGATAGAAACAACAGTTAATTATGCAAGTTTGAGCTCAGTTTGCTCAGGACATGGAAAAGCAATGCCTTAGATTTAAAATATTTTCCTCCTGCAACTAGGTCTTTTTGCCAAATGTTAACTGGAATGATTAATCATTAGCACTACTAAGCTATATTCCTTAAAAAAAAAAAGAGAGGCCAAAAAAGGACAAAATATATAAACATACATTAAGCTCAACTTTGGATTCCACGAGGCGAGAATGATCTGCACAGTCCACCAGAAAGACAATCCCATTAATTGCCGGGAGATAGTTTTTCCAAACCCGACGTGCTAAAAGACAAAGTTTGTAGCTGCATCAGTAAAAAATATACATTGTGAAAATGAATAACCTAATGGTCTATAAAATGGACAAATCTTGGTCAGGTTTCAGTAAGATTAGACACTTTTATGGGTTTCTCCAAGTCCTGGCCAATATGCAAACTGATGGTTCGTGGTTTTTGTAAATTTGAAAATCAGATTTTCTGCCTTTCTTGAAAAACTGCAACATCTGGCAATCCCATGCCTACATATCCACATGCTGGATCTAAGCAGTGACTGACAACTTCAGATGGTGTCTGAATACTTTTGTTTGACAAAATTTCCGGGCTGTCTTATAGCCAGCCAATTTTACTTACTTAAATGACTTGCCTTGTCCCTGGGGCCAAGTTTAGTTTGCAACCTCTGAGTTAAAACATCAGGATACAAATTACTTGTTCATGTAACTTTAGTCCCAGTTAGTTTCTAACCAACTTGTGTGTAGGTTATCTTCTCTGCTCCGCCCTTAGGGGGACTGGGTCTGACAGGTGGTTCAAGGCCCCAGGCCAGTTATCTCAGCCTACCATATTTAACCCAGCATGCCTTAGAAATAGTACTTTTTTCTGCTTGTGACATGAAACAATAAAGGCTGGGAAACAGTGATTTAATTGTACTATCATTTCTAAGCCATTCATTTCTAGCCCTTGCAATGTAATGAATAAAGAGGCATCTCTATATCAGTTAACAATGGTTACCTTTAAAGAATGGAGCTAGGAAAAAGAGGCTGAAGGAAACTTCCATTTTACTTTCCATAGTTCTATACTGATTTTGTTACATCAAACCTGCTCTGCTTTTATAAGTTAAAATTTTTTATGTTATACAAAAAAGAAAAAAAAAAAAGGAAACCTCCAGATACACAGTATTTTAGTAACTTCTATAAAATGGTGGCTAGGTTATTATACAAAAGTGTTTTTGTTAAGTAGATTTTCCTCAGTCAAATTAAAAAAAAACTAAATATATCAACACACTTCCCTTCTTACTTTTAACAAACCTTAAACCTAAATTTATCACACCAAATAATCTACAATTCCCAGTTCAGGTATATAAAACCATCTGGTGTCTGTTCCTTCTGCATTCTCCAGATGGTCTAGGTTCAGTCTTATCTTGCTCTGAATTTAAATTTGTAAGCAGTTACAAATCCTTTTGTGTAAGAAGCAGAAAGGACTCTCCATTCACCCATTCTTACCCAAATGAAAAAAATACAAGCTCCTTACAGAAAAAGGGAAATAAAATCATTTATACTCCCTCCATCAAAACACGCCCCTTGTCAATATTTTGATATTTTCTTCCAATCTTTTTTTCTTTTGATATGGAGTTTCGCTCTTGTTTCCCAGGCTGGAGTGCAATGGCACGATCTCAGCTCACTGCAACCTCTGCCCCCAGGGTTCATGTGATTCTCCTGCCTCAGCCTCCCAAGTAGCTGGTATTACAGGCATGCGCCACCACACCTGGCTAATTTTGTATTTTTAGTGGAGAGGGGGTTTCTCCATCTTGGTCAAGCTGGTCTTGAACTCCCAACCTCAGGTGATCTGCCTGCCTTGGCCTCTCAAAGTGCTGGGATTACAGGTGTGAGCCACTGCACCTGGCCCCAATCTTTTTTCTTTACTGGCATTTTATGTAATTATGGTCATAATATACATGATTTTTCAGGGCATAAGTATTAATTAAAATGTAATTATATGTTAATGAAATCACTGACTATAAAATTATTAGACTGAACAACTAGAAATGACCAATGTTGTATTTTACTATACATTTTTTTAAAACTGTATTAGGCTGGGCACAGTGGCTCATGTCGATAATCCCAGTAATTTAGGAGGCTGGGGCAGGTGAATTGCTTGAGCTCAGGAGTTCAAAACCAGCCTGGGCAACATGGCAGAAACCCCATCTCTACAAAAAAATACAAAAATTAGCTGGGCATAGTAGAGCGCACCTGTGGTCCCAGCTACTCAGGAGGCTGAGGTAGGAGGACTGCTTTGAGCCCAGGAGGTAGAGGTTGCAGTACACCAAGATTATGCCACTGTACTCCAGCCCGGGCAACAGAGCAAGACCCCATCTCAAAAAAAGAAAAAAAAAAAAAACTGTAATAGCTCAACCTAATGTTTCAAAATGAGATTTCTCCACTCAATTTAATAACGAGTAAATCTGACAGCATCTCAATAGTTTCTTTTCCCTACCTTCCCAGAATACTCTTGCATCTTAAATGTTTTACTCCTATATCTAGAGTCTTGTCAGATGCGAACTGAGTGCCCATCAGATAAAGATGCCCACTCTGTATGCCTTTAAAACACCTGATGGGAATCTGGAAACCAAACAGATACAGCCTGAATAAGGCAAAAAGCACTTCTGAGGAAGGCAAAAAGGTAGAAGGAAATGTTCCCCTAACTGTCCCAAAGGCGTAGAGTATACAAAATATCAACTTACATCAGAGTAATCACACAGTCCCTTTTGCAACTTTTGACAAGTCTGAAATTACTTACAAATATTTAAGCTAATTTCCTACATACTTTCATTCCATTGAATAAAGGATGCAAAAATGACTTGATATCTAAATATAATATATGATAATATATACCTGGTCAAGACGAAAATAAAAGAGATTATCAGGACAACTGACCAACAAAACCAGGAAATACAGAGTGGATAAAAATAAAACTTCCTGGATTTGATAACTTTATGATTACATACAAGGAAATATCTTTGTTCTCAGAAAACACCACTAAAGTATTAAAGAGTAAAGGGGCACACCACTAAAGTATTAAAGAGTAAAGGGGCATGATATGCTCACAAACAGTTCATAAAAAAATAAGCATTAATATATATGATATAGAGATGACTAACAAATTAGGACAAAAGGTACAGGTGAAGTGACTTCTGTGTACTTTTTATACAATTTTTGACAAGTTTGAAATTATTTAAAAATAAATGAATAAAACAACTTCACTGAAGTAATAAGATCCTAATTCTAAAATGTAAGTAATTTAAAAGGTAAAAATGACATACTGCTTTTAAAAGGAGCTGAGGGGCACAAAAAGAATCATTAAATAGATACCATCCTTTCTGCTGAGGCATCGCTTACCTTGCTCGTGCCCACCGAGATCAAAAGTTGTAAAGGTCATTCCAGCAATTGTTAGCTCTTCTGATGCTGAAAAATTGTTCAAAAAGAAGAAATAAACCTGTCAATCCAACAAGGCCCAACTAGTAGTACTATTAGCCAATACCAATGCTTTCGCCTTGTAAAGCAAAAGATACAAGAAGCTAGGTGTGGTGGCACCCGCCTGTAGGTCCAGCTACTCGGGAGGCAGAGGCAGGAGGATAACCTGAGCCCAGGAGCTCTGAGACCAGCCCAGGCAACGCCCCACCCCCAACAAAGAAAAGAAATACAAGGGTGAAAATGTTCTTAAACTATTCTAAAAGCCAAAGGTTTCTTTTTATCCAAGCTGTTTTCTGCTTCTTAGAAGTAGATATTGGAGATTCGCCCCTTTACAGGACCAGCGACAACAGACAGTGACAAAGTTCCAGAGGTTTAGATCTATAAATATATAACCTGAGTGTGTCTGACAGGGAACTTTTTCATTTGAGCTGGCTTTTGGGACTTAAGTTAATAAAAGAACTCCATCAACTAGGGATTTATCCTCTAAGCCTAGCACTGACCTTCAAAAATCAAAAGGTCACCTGATATTTTCAAACCTACTCGGATGTAGTGTTGGAACATGTTGGCCCAATCTGTCATCTTTGAGCATGTGAAGAAGAGTGGTTTTGCCTGCATTGTCCAAACCCAAGAATACAAGTTTTCCAGATTTCTTGTAGAGTCCTAAAGAGAAAAAAATTGTTAGCACATTTGCTCCCTACATACCAAAGCCTACTTGTATTTAAATTATTGAAGGACATGCACAAACTTTGAAACCTATTTCAAGGAAATGGCTTTACCTAGGAACTGGAGCACACTGCTGAAGCCATTGTAGATCCACTCAAAGATGAAAGACATTATTAATGCTTACTACCTGTATAAAATACGAAAGTAGCAACATTAGCTTTCTGAATGACAGTACAGTTGTGGAGAGGTTAACCCCTGTTCACTAGCCCTGATGCACATTTACAGTCCCATATTTTCAGGCATAAGAAAGCAAGCCAGGCACAGCGGCTCACACTAGGAATTCCAGCACTTTGGGAGGCCAAGGCAGGAGGATCACTTGATCCCAGGAGTTCAAGATTGGCCTGGGCACAAAAGCAAGACTCGATCTCTACAAATAATTAAAAAATTAGCTGAGCATAGTGACACACACCAACAGCCCCAGCTACTCAGGAGGATGACACAGAAAGATTACTTGAATCGAGGGGTTTGAGGCAGCAGTGAGGTATGATGGTGCCAATGCACTCGCTTGGGCAACAGAGGGAGATCCTATCTCAAAATAAAAAAATAAAGAAACAAGAAAGCAAAGAGAAACTAACATTCTTCTTATCTTTCTTGAGACAGGTTTTGCATCTGAAGGAAAGTCTCTAGAATCCTCATATGTGCAAAAATGACTGGTTTCCAAATAGTTTTTGATCTATGATACTCAGAGAACTAGAAGTTAAAAATATACAGGCATATCTCATTTAATTATGCTTTGTGGATATTGAGGTTTTTTGGTTTTTTTACAAACTGAAGGTTTGAGGCAACCCTGAGTTGATTAAGTGTATCAGTGCCATTTTCTAACAGCATGTGTTCCCTTTGTCTCTGTGTCACATGTTGGTAATTCTCACACAGTATTTAAAACGTTTTCATTATTCTTATTTCTGTCATGGTGATCTATGATCAGTGACCTTTGGTATTACTATTATAATTGCTTTGTTGTGCCACAAACTACAATTACAGAAGACAGCAAACTTAACGGCTCCCCCCACGATCCTGCCCCCATCCCAGGCCTCCCTATTCTCCACGTGAAAGTAACAGGTCTCTTCCTTGAAATCAAATTTAGAAATGATTAAGCTTAGTGAGGAAGACACATCAAAACCTGAGATAAGCCAGCAGCTAGGCCTCTTGCACCCAACAGTTACCCAAGTTGTAAATGCAAAGGAAACGTTCTTGAAGAAAATTAAAAGTGCTACTCCAATGAACCCATGAACATCAAGAAAATGAAACAGCTTTACTGCTGATAAAAATAAAATAAAAACACAAGGTAAAAAAGCAAGTGCTGATGTAGCAGGTGCAGCAAGATAGTGATGAAGGGGGGTGGGTACACTAAACAACACATTTTCAATGTAGGCATATGAGCCTTCTATTAGAAAAGCCATCTAGGGCTTTCATAGCTAGAAGGGAGATGCCAATGCTTGGCGGAGATGTCAATTTGCTTGGCTTAAAAGCTTCAAGGGATAAGCTGACTCTCTTGTTAGGGGCTAATGCAAGATGACTTTAAGTTGAAGCCAATGTTCATTCATATTCTGAAAATCCTAAGGCCCTTAAAATTACACTAAATCAGTCAAGAGGAGCGAGTAAGTGAGCAGAGTGGTTGTGTGGTTGCATCTCGGAAACCAGCAGCACTTGCAGCATGGCTGACCAGCTGACTAAAAAGCAGGTTGCAGAATTCAAAGAAGTTTTTTCACTATTTGACAAAGATGGTGATGGAACTACAACAACAATGAATTGGGAACTGTAATGAGGTATCAGGCAGAATCACAAAGAAGCAAAGTTACAGGACATAATTAATGAAGTAAATACTGATGGGAATGGCACAATTGACTTCCCTAAATTTCTGACAACGAAGGAAGAAAAATAAAAGACACAGACAGTGAAGAAAAAAATTAGAGAAGCATTCTATGTGTTTGATAAGGATGGCAATGGCTATATTCTTGCTGTAGAACTTAGCAATGTGATGACAAACCTTAGAGTGAAGTTACCAGATGAAGAAGTTGATGAAATGATCACGGACGCAGATATTGATGGTGATGGTCAAGTAAACTACAGAGTTCGTACAAATGATGACAGCAAAGTGAAGACATTGTACAGAATATGCTAAATTTCTTGTACAAAATTGTTTATTTGCCTTTTGTAACTTATCTATAAAAGGTTTCTCCATGCTGTAA